TGGGTAGAAAAATAAGTTGTGTGTTAATGGTTTAGGTATAGGATGATTTCTTTTTTCTATTATTCATCTATCTATTTTTTAAAAATTTTATTATTATTATTATTATTATTATTATTAGCTCGTTTATTTTTATTCCTTATCATTTTTTATATTAATTTAGAGTTGTTACTTCAATTTTTTTTTTAGAAAAAATTATAAAAATCTTGACGAAGTCTCCTATCCGATAGGGACCGACGTCACAAAAAAATGCTTAAAAATTTTGACGAAGCCTCATACTTAGTAGGGACCGACGCCACCAAAAAATAATAATAAATAAATAAATTGATGAAGTCTCCTATCTAATAGGGATCGACGTCACTAAAAAGAATATTCAAGATTTTCGATGAAGTCTCCTACTTGATAGGGACCGATGTCATCAAAAATCACCTTTTAATTAAGATGTCCTTCGACACGCTGGTTGTGTGAAGGCTTTTAGTGGATCCGATGTTTGAACCAACGTGTCGCCCGACGAAGGGGACCGATTATCGTTTCAATACGATGCCACGCCAAGAGTAATTTTTTTTTTTTAAAAAAAATGGGAGTTCAAAAATTAGAAAATGGTTTGACATGGATTTTTAGGAGATGAATTTAGAACAAAACCATACATGGTACTTTTTTTTCGAAAAGGGCACTTTTAGGTGATTAAATATCTTCCTAAAATCGTAACCAACTCCTTACCTTAGGAATCTCCGAACCAATGTTACTTTTAGGTTCCTAATTCCTTAAATACTAGGTGGCGACTCCAAAACTCTATACATAATTTTGTAAATAATTAATGCTTAGATTTAATTTCTTTGGGGAGTACCGTCCGACGTCGTGTAGCGACAACGTTATTACTTACACCTATACAATAACACTAACTTCCCAATTTCGAGTCTAAAAGATATATTGCAGTCTACTCTGCCTTCCAACCATTTTTCAATACTTTTGTTTTCAAAGTCTTTTTAATTGGGGCATGCACAAAAATATCCACAATAGGTTGATAGTAATGGATATGGATTTGATGGGGAGTATTTAAAAAACAAATCATTTTTTGTCGGATGAAGATCTCTTCGATAGTTAACTTTAGCTTCACATGTAGAAAGAGATGATTAGCCTTAATAGGTCATAAATAGATTAGATATTGTATGTATTAAATAATAGGTAATATAACTATTTTGATCTTAAAATGCAAAACCTGTGATATGTAAGAGAAGTGTGATCCATTCGTAAAAGAACGAGATAAGGTAGTCTTTTTCCTATGCTCAACAATTTATAACACTCACTTAAGAAAAATATATCTTTAATATTGACCATTCGGTTGGAGTGATTTCATGGTTGTATTTGATGAGATTAAAATTATTTAGATAGCATACAATTAGTTAATGAAGGTACTTTTGGTTCTCTTAATTGATGGCGATTGATGGACAAACACCTTAAACTAGCTCCGAACGAAGTATTCAATCTTTTAGACAAACTGATGAAACTTCAGAGTATTGGTTAAGATATAACCATGGAGGTTGGACTTCATTTCATATATGTCATTTCAAAAAATTTGTTGGGTATATGAAAGAAAAACCCACTAAGTTAGGAATCGTAAGCATGAACATTCTCTCTGAACCATTATGTCCACAGATTTGACTCCGACTTGAACATATTTGTTTAAACAGGCCTAGGATAGATCAGTTAATCATACAAAACAGGTTACCAATTAATTTCTAGCTTAGGAACTTGGCAAATTAATGCCTCATTAGGACTGGGATCTGTTTGCGGTGCATGTATGTCCAAGAAATTCAAGTCATAGTAGGTAGGCACATCAAATCAAGAATCCCAAGAATCCGAATTGGGACCCATCTCAGCAAACAAATTTGAAGTCCAACCATCTGTGCTTTTAATGAATTATTACGTTAATTGTCCTATTATAGGAAGATTAGTACGAAACCGAAGTGGGATTGATGTTAAAATGGGAGTGGTTGTTGATTATATATGATTCGCCACTTTATTCTGCTCTATCAACATGATTTAAAATGGGTATTTGTCAGTTGTCATCTTCTTTGCTTGAAAACCATGTAACGTTTAATTAATGGAATCTGAGGTTCTCTCACTTTAATTTAGACATTCCACTCTTCTTTTGTTACATTAAAGAGTTTGATTGTTAATAATTACTTAATGTTTCACTTTGGATGTTGATGTTATTCCTCTAAGTGTCAACGACAAATAGATTAGGACTTCCATATTGGTTGATTGGTCCCCCACGGGAGATACTCCAATTATGATTAATTGCTAAGGCTCAATGATACCCTTTGAGCTTGCCGAAATGCTTTCAAACAAGATTTCACAATGCGATAACCAGGAAATTTATAAGCCCAAAATCTTGCATTACATAATTACCTTGCAAGTTTACGTCCAATTTCTGAGTCTGTATATTTATTTTATATCTTATTAATACTCATTAATATATATATTTAAAAAAAAAATACGAAGAGATTAATTGCATAAACTTTATCACCCAAAAGTATATTTTTTTTGGGAGAGTACTTTTACCCAACCCATTCTGTCCAATTGAACAAAAATATCAGTATTATTTTATATAAATCACGTATGCTATTATTTCAAATTATTGTAAGAGATTAATTGAAAATCACACATTAAAGGTAAAACTATAATTTTATGTTTTGTTTTATAATTTCTATATAATAAATATACATTAAAAAAATTTAATGTTTAAACAAAAAATGTCAAAAAATATGGGAAACTTAATTTGTTCCGTTGTTTTGTGTAAAAATTGAAACCGAAAGGGAGGAATGTGTAATGCCTCTTTTCTTAAATTTATTCCAGAAATAATATTAGTTATAGGGATAATACTTAGCTACCATTATAATCCACAGTTTGTTGCTATTTATTATAATGTTTGTCGTGGCTGCTACTGTTGTAATGTGCCGTGACTGTTATTGATTCTGGAAAAAGAGATCTGGTTGAAGTTGCTGCTAGCTAGTGTTGGAGAAGAAGACGCTACAGGGAAAGTCCCTGTAACAAGGGATTGTTGCTATTACAGAGACAAAGCAAATTCAATCCAACTAATAATTAGTACTAAAATCATATACCATGTTGGTTAAATATTAACCCTTCAAATTAAATAAAGATCAAGACTTCATTAGGTAATTTTCTTTTATTCAATCAAATCTACTTATTTCTATATGTTAAAATAAACTAACTTATTTTTTTATAAATAAAATTTACTATTTTTTTTTTATATACAAGTTTTCTTACCATGTCTTTCGCACATCTATTATTCAACTATATATATATATATATATTGTGAATTTATTCGATAGTTAATAATCAGAAATATAAAAACTGTAAATATTTATTATAAGAGCTCCAAAACAATAATCTTTAATTTTTAATTTTTAATTTTTTTTTGTATAATTTTCTTGTAAGCGTAGTTAAAAATTAAAACAATATTCTTCGTATATATGATAATAATGTTATAAGAATGTTTCATGCAGGAACGAACTCCATTCATTGGTGGGAGCCCATGGCACCCTAAACTTTGGAAACGTTTACATATCAGTCTTAAAATTTTAAAAGTTTGTACTTATACCCTTCAATTTTATATGTTTTATACCTCAAAAATCAATTATTTTCTTATTCACTCATCCAATCCTAAATTTCTGAGCCCCTAGTTTCATGTCTATTTTTTTTTTTCGAGAGAGAATGAGCTTAATTTGTCTGCAATTAATGCGCGCAGCCAATTGTTTCGATTGAAAATAATTTATCTATATTGTCATTTTTATTTAAAAGTGAAGTTATTTTGATTATATGATGGAAATAAATATAATTAAATATAAAATTAAAAATATGATAAATTGTTATCTAAAGTTCGTTTTTTTTTTTGATTGCTTACATTTAATAATATCAACAATTGAAAACATCGAGGAGATTCCAAATTATAAAATAAAACTTGATAAAATATTGGATCTGATATTCTAATATTTATATTTTAATATTAAAAAAATTAAAATGTCTTTCTCCTACCAAAATTACTAATATATTAAAATATTAGTGATTATTTTTGTGCAAAAAAAGTACTTGCATGTTAAAAAAACATTTACATGTAATTAACACAAATACATAAAGTACATGATGTGAATAAATAATTTATTCAGGGCTTCGTTAAGTATTAACATGATAATACTAGCATCGTAGATTTCATGAATCCTTTTGATTTTAAAGATTTCTTTTTTTTTTTAATTATTATACGTGATACGAATATTAACGATATAACCATTAATAAAATATTGTGCTACTTTTTGACTAAAGAATCTATTTCAGAATTAATATATATGGACCCCTTCCTTGCTTTTTATTACCCACAAATACATATATGGGCCTTTAGTCTTCCTCGAGTTCAAAATGCCAATGTGAGAGAGAAGAGACTTTCAAATTGGGCTTGGTCTCTTGACCTTGTAGAAATTAATATCAGGCCAGCCATACTTGGCAGTCCACGACTAATTTTTAGATGATTTTTTTTTTGTTAATTTGTAAAATTTAAATTTTAAAATCATATTTATTTAGAAAAATTTAAAATTTTGTCATTTTCACCTTGAATATGATTATTTTATTTTCATGTGAGATATATAAAAAAAAAAAAATCAAAAGACAATAACACTAAATGCCTCGAATGATATTCTGAAGGGAGAAAAAAAAAAAGGTTCAAAAAATTCTGTTTGAAGCACAATTTATGGCAAACTTTCCACTAAAAGTCTCTTTGGATGGCTCTTTAATTATAGCTCCAAAGTGTTGCCACGAACGCTGCAAGAGCTCCACGTTTCATTATACGTGTAAACTTAACTCATCTGTGCTTCTGTCACCCGTGGCAATTAGCAACATCCCTTACCGAAGAGACAAGTTTAACCAAATTTGGCTACAAAAATAAAGCAAATCTAAGTTGAATCCTTAGCTTCATTTCCTTCGTAGACATGTCGACTACATCAAAATCTTCGCCGTCGTCATATGGTAATTAATTATAAGCTTTGCGTAGCATTCAAATAAATTGAATTAATTTCTTTTTTTGTTTTGGTAATCACTTCTGTTTTAATTTGGTGCAGTTACTGTAAGAGATATATTTTTATGGAGGAGAAAGAAGTTGAGTTTATCGGTCCTTTTAGTGTCAACAGCTGCATGGGTGTTGCTTGATGTTTATCAATTCAAATTCATCACTGTTGCTTCGTGGGCTGCAATGTTTGTTGTTACTTCACTGTTCGTTTATGGCAACTTGGTCAGGTTTTTCCGCAAGTAATACCCCTAATTCTCTTGTTAACCCATCTGCTTTCCTGTTTTCTTTATTGGTATGTAAGAAGTTCAAGCATTAACGTTGTTTTTTGGGCTAAGTTCAGAGAAGAGCCAGATTTGTCCGGTTTGGAGATTTCAGAGCAGACAGCTATTGAGACTGCACTCTCCGTTCGACAATCAATAGAAGAGTCAATTCGGTGGATGTTCCATGTGAGTACAGGGAGAGAACTGTTTGTCTTTGCTCGTGTAGTCGCTGCTCTGTGGTTGCTCTCTTATGTGGGAAGCTTCTTTGATTCTCTAACACTTCTTCACATAGGTAACACTTCTTTGATTTTCTTACACACCCACAAACAAGCTAATTAAGCTTACAGTTGAGTCCCTCGATCGTTTCGTGCATCAATTAACAGCTACCATATTTCTCATCTAAATATAAATACAAAGGAGTCTTTAATTTACAGGAATAGTGGCGGGCATGACTATTCCTGTGATTTATGTAAAGAACGAGGATACGATAAAGATGTTTGAAGAGAGGATGAGGATGCAAGCGAGAAGATTTTATGATATGATGGACGAGAGGGTTGTCAAGCGAATAAAGAATCAGGTAGTTAAAGTTAAAGAGAAGAAGGTTGAGTAGTTTCTTTTTTTTTTTTTTTTTTATAAAAGAAAGAAAATAAAAATAATGTGCATGATTTCCTTGTAAATTAGTACGTACGTATGGTAGCAGGCTAGCTGACGCCAATGTTTGTATAACAATAATAATCTACGTATTTTTCGATGTTTAACATGCAATTACCTTTATCCAAGGTCGAGCCAAAAAAAAAAAAAAAAAAAGATGTTGGAAGTTTTTGCTATTTTTTAAAGCTTCTATTTATTTTAATCCTTTTTGAAAAATAGTTTAAAATTTAAACCAATATGATTAATGAGAAGATATTGATTCATTCATTTACTGGCAATCGAAAATGGAGATTTAATAAATGATGTAATGTGCAAAAGGGAGGTTACTGATTGAATAGTATAATATTATTATAATACATATGGTTCAAATAACTTGTAGTACAATGATAAATTCAGTAATAATGAACTCTTTTAACAAAAAAGTTATCTTTATTGGTCACGACACAAGGCACAGGTTAAAATCTTAATCGGTGAGAGTACATATATATATAAAACATGGATCGGTGGTTCAAGACTATAAGGTTGCGTGTTCGTTTCAATTCCATTTTTGTCACGTCTCCATACGTGAATTTTGGCTTTCACCATCATCAAAATGATAACGTTTAGAAAGAGAGAGAGTTTTGTTATCTTTTGGGTATGAGGTAGCTAGTTAAATTATAAAAAATTAAGAGAAATGTGATGTGTCATTTAAATTAGGTAGGTAGTGCAAGTGAATTTCACGACTCCTGTTGTAACAAGTTAATTTTAAAATGGACTTTAATTAATAATATGTAAGAATTAGTAAAACTAAGTCGATCGAAGAGATAATATAATTAATTTAACTACGTCGTCATGCCCAAAAGTTTGGCTTTCACCATCATCAAAATGATAACGTTTAGAAAGTGAGAATGTTCCTTGTCCATCGATGATAACTATTGTGTAAGCACAACACATAATATTAATGAGTACTATAATAAATTAAGCTAGACAAGAGACTGATTTTATTTAAAATTCATAGTTGAAAAAGAATGGTAAATACAAATCCAATTTATAAAAATAAAATACTCTGACAATTCCAGACTTGTCAGAGCAAATCTACAAATCACGTCAAACATCTCTGTGTGTGTGTTTGTGTGTGCAGCCTATATATATATATATATGTTTAAAAACAATCTAGGCAAGTTTACGTGCGAACTCCAGTATACAGTGGGTGAGTTCTTTAGGCTTAGAAGGAATTGCCATGTGATCTGCAGGAATCTCCATCACTTGCTTAACCTCGTTGTGTTCGATCATGAAGCGCTGTAATGACGGCTTTACCAATAAATCTTCAGTACAAACAACATAATCTCTCTTTCGTGAACTTATTTGCCTTGGACAGACTGTCCAGAAACAATGATCCTGGTCTCTTTAAAAGTGTTTGGAGAGTGAGATCCTGCAAACAAGAAAAACATCATAACTATACTAGTTATTACTATGAAACAGATGAGTTCAATATTGAAAATTACTTTGTAATCGGATTTTTGTACTGTACCTCAATGGGGGTAACGTTAAAGGTCGTGGCCTTCATAAACATCTCATATCCCTTGGTCGAAGACACTACACCTTGCCACCCGCCTGCAACGCCTGGATTGCATGCTTTCAGTAAACTAACAGAAAGGCCAAAAGTTTGATGTTAGAGATAGTTGGTAATGCGTTTACATTTGCATGTATGCATGTGCATCATTATTATTAATATTTCTTCTTGAATTAAGCAAAAGGTTTTGGGCGTTAGATCTCTTCTCATGTGGTATATGTTTTTGATAGGCTTAAGTACTTGGACCTTAAAATGATTCTTTTATAAAATAACCTAGGGTTTAAACGTAGGGAATTTAATCAAATACAAAAACTAAATAGAATAAATCATCGTAATTATAAGGAATCAATAAAAAAGTTAAATATTGCAGTATGAAACAAATAAGTATACCGATGCAAGCCTAAACCGAACCTCACTACCAGTGGGCTTCCACCGAGATCCTCCTCGGGTCCGGAGAAAAAGCCACCGTTTGTCCAAGAAACCACACAAGCTGAATGATTATATATAGAGCTAAAGAATATATAATGAGTTTGTTACAAAGAATATACGAGCTAAAGAATATTGTTAGAGTTTGTTAACAAAGAAAGGAAAATGAGTTTGTTACAAAGGCATTGTATGAGTCGGGCAATTTCGTTAGAATTTGCCTATAAAGTCGATGATGAAATGATAAGAAATAACAAGAAATATTACCTCGGTCTTTCTCTCCCTTATTCTCTCTTTTTCTCTCGCTTTTCCATTCGGCATATCTGTCTTGTGCATTGCCTTGAAAGGCGAGCCGCTCTATAATATATGTGGCCCTAGGTAAAATAATATTTTAAAGACTCTTTCTTAAAACAAATAAATATTAAACATTATTTAAATTTTATTTTTCTTGCTTTACGAGATGCAAAATCTCTAATTAAATTTTTGTATTCAAGTTTACAAAGCAAATCTTTTTCAATTGATAATATAGCCAAATTACTTAATCTTTCTTGTGACATAGTTGAAAGTAAATAAGATTTTATTAATTTTAATTTTGAAAAACTTCTTTCAGTCGAAGCTACAATAACATGGATAGTTAATAGTATTCTATATGCTATTCATGCATTTGGAAAAGAATTTACTTTTTTTTATAAAATTTAGTGCGGCAAGTGGTGTTTTCATTTCTATAGTTATAATTTCTTTTAAAATTTTTAATTCTGAAAATAAATCTAAACCATCAATATCGAAAGCATATTGTGCTTTAGAAAGTTTTCAAGATTTAAACAATTTTTTTTCAAAATATCATCATCGAGTGATTTTAATTTTTCTACACTATAAAGAAAACCAAAATTATCTTCATATATTTTAAATTGTTCAAACCTATTATCTTTCATTTCCACATCCTTCATTTGCTAATTGAATATTTGATTTCAAACTAAATAATTTACAACAATAACAAAACACTTTATCTAACTCTTTTGAATATAATAGCCATTTTCTATCATGTTTTTCTCCATTTGGTAATTTTCGAATGTAATGAACTGTAGAAAAATGTCTAGAGTTTTTATCTCTTGGAAAATCTAAAATTTCTCTAATTGGACCTTTCTTAACTAATAAATCAATCAGTTTTGAGTTTAAATTTTTCCATTGTGCTGGATCATAAATATTTTTAATTATTTTTGCATCTTCATCATTAATATTTTTACTTTTATTAATTGAAACATCATCTTCTAAATTTTCATCATATTCTTCATTACTTTTTGGTGAATTTGAATTGTTATCTTCAAATTTTTCTTCACAATTTTCAACTATATTTTCATTTAAATTTTTATCTTGTTATTCTATTATTTGAGGTTTAATATTAGTAACAAATCTATCAAATGCACCTTTTTGGGATTGAATTAGTTCTTCTATCTTTTTTTTTTCTTATGCTTTTCATATCCAGATTCATACTTTCTAGTAGACATTTTATTCAAATAATAAAATTAAAATATAATTATAAAAAAAATAAGAAACTTTGACACTCGATTATATTTGCTTGCCACACCTAATCAAGTAAACATGGAGGGAATCACCCGAGAAAATAAAAAAATTTTGAGAAAAAATAAAATATTATATGATTTATATACATAATTTTATTTGCATAAATTAAAAAATTACCTTCGATTTTTTTGCCAAGCTAATTAGAAAAGGTTTTGTAAGACATCCCCGATTGTTTGGAGAAAGAAAGGAATATAATAAAAAAATTTAGAGATCTAAAAATTATTTCACTCAAATATTTTTCCGAAACTTTTATGTAAGTAAAAATGGAGACTGCAGACTTTTAATTTATCTCATTCTTTTAAGGTATAGATTTAGGGTAAAATTTTAATTGAGGCCCTCCTTTCTATGGGGCCCTAGGCATGAGCCTTAATGGCCTATGCCTTGAGCCAACCCTCGTTGAAAGGTAGTGCAACATTGGTGCTTTCATCGACGTTCTCCCTATGACGAAGGCATGGTGACCCGTTCTAAAGCCCCGGAAGACCAAATCTCCAAACTAGGAGAGCAACTCTCCCAACAAGCTTCCCTTCTTCCCAAATTTGACACACTTTGCACCACGGTGCAACAACATTTTGACACCTTTTAATTCCTCCGTAAACCCCTTTCCTCTCGACAGATCGTTATGGCGGACATGATGCTTAGATTGGCTAAGATTGAAAAACAACCCGTACACCCACCTTTGCTACCATTTCTAACCCCTTCGCCAACCATTCCCTCCACCCACACTTCCTCGGGTTCCCATGCTCACCCCGTCTAGGTTTTTCAACCTTCCCGCACCCCTCCCAACCCCTCGACCCAACCACACGGATTGCCTCTCGCCTCCCTAAACTCGAGATTCCCTTGTTCTCGGGCGAGAATGTCTTGAACTCGGTTGTTTCGGATCGACCACTTCTTCAAATTTCACCACATTTCCTCTTACCAATGCATTAGTATAGCTGCCTTCTATATGACAGGACCTACTCGCAGGTGGTTCCATTGGCTCCATTCCACTTCACAGCCTCTCCACCCAGGACGTCTTCACTCACCAGACTTGAAATGCGTTTTGGGCCATCCGCCTTTGTCAACCATGAAGCTCAATTATACAAGCTTTGTCAAAACTCCTCTGTTTCCACTTATATCGGGGAATTTGAGGCTCTATCAGCCCAAATTCAAGGCCTTAGCCCCACCAACTTACTCAACTATTTCCTTTCCGGCCTCAAAGATGAAATCCAACGCGAGCTCTATCTTCTTAAGCCTCGCTCCGTGCATGAAGCGATGGGCATGGCTAAGCTCATTGAAGATAAATGCAATGCTCGCCGGACCTTTCTACTCTGAGCCTACCTTCTTTCGATCACCATAACCCACCACAAATCCCAACCCTCTTCTCCCACCACCACACCATCCAATACTAAACAAACCTCCTTTTC